AGATTTAGCAAAACTTAGCCAATAAATACCTATATAAATTGAAAAATCAAAATTAAACACATTTTGTCTTTCCAAATGGGACATGAGAGATACATAAATAGTGTTAAAAGAAAAAAAGAAAGAAAAAAAATATTGACCCTTCTGGGGATTGAACCCACGGCCCTCATATTCAATGTTGTTAACAGTAGTGAATACTCTTCAAAGCGGAGGTAATGCATGAGGATGGTAATACCTTAACTGTTAAATTTTCTATAACAAGAAGACACGTTTGTGTCAGTCACACAAGAATTGATTCGTTCAATATATATTTCAGGAAGTATCTATAAGAATATTTTAGCACCATGTATGAGAAGGCGACATTCTGGCCTTTAATATTTTATGTTATTTTAACAACAATTCAGTGATCTGAGTGAATAACACAACACTAATTGAATGAAATGGAAATAATGTTATGAAAGAAAGATTTACAATTATTTCATTATCGAATTACGCATGTCTTACTTTTGACAAATTTTAAAGCTTTAAAATAAGTAACAGGTCTGCACATCTACAATCCTACGCGCCTTAGTACTGTATTTGTTGTGCAAATTTGTATTGATTAAATGTAATTGAGAAAAATATGGGCATAAATTCAAAACGGTAACAGAATACATGTTGATTGGGCATGTGTCAATGTTAACAATGTAAGAGTAGTCGATAGTGACATGTGCATTCATCGTTTGAATAAACACAAAAAAAACAATACAAAATATAATGATATAATTTTCTATTTTTATGCATGTATTTATTAAAACAAATAACAAAGTTTGAAAAAATGGAAACTATTCAAGGTTAAATAAATAAAGTTTATTTTCTTAGATTAGAATTCGTTAATATAATCAAACATGTGTATGTATTTGATTTTTGTTCATTGACTTTAAACAATGATGTTTCTCGTCTATCGTCTCTATTTCTGTCAAATCCAGATTTACACAAGTGCAGATAAAAAGTCAGAAAATGAGTGGATTGTTCATTAGTACGCCTATAATTTCATCAAAATATCATGACTTGGAATCAAGACCAACGATAGTCGAAATTGCTAATGGCGCTGATCCTAATCAAGGTAAGTAAATAAACATTTAGAAATAAGAGAACTGTTAACATAACTTTTTATTGATTTGTGCTGGCAGTCTTAAGAACGCTATACCTATCAAAATAATCATACGGTTTTATCTGTTGATTTCTTTACAAGTTATTTTTTCTACATTGCTTGTGATAGTTTCAATGTAAAGTTATTTTAAGCAGTTTATGTAAACTTTCTCTCTACTCCTTAATTCGAGTTTCAATATTCCTACTTATATGGATATGTTGCCTGCTTTTTAAATTTGTCTTTTGACGTCTTATCTGTGATACGCAGGCTTCAGCAGGTGTCAAGTGCCGTGTGGCAGCCGTAAAAAGTTGCCCCGTACTTCACTTCAGTGTTGTTTATATTTTCTGGTCCTTCGGGATCATTGATTGCCAACACTATAAATGTTGAGAATTGCAGTACGCTCATGCGGTGCAGGCGGGTGCAGGATGTTGCACTATACAATTACCTCATGTACAGACTCATCAAACCGGTCTGCAATTTTAATGTTATTTTGTTGGGATAATGCCTTCCCGAGGGATCACTGTTGTTTCCAGAATTTTCATGACCTGATCAACCTTCAAAATTACCATTTTACTAGTTCCCGCATTGTTTCTCGTTTAGGGCAGCACGCTTTTTCTGTGGGGAACCATACGCCGCTTTCATGGAATGGGCACGGAAGGTGCTACATTGGAGGTCCCATGATAACTGCGTATGAAAACGATTGCGGATGTTCTAAATCAAAAATTTTAACTATTTCATGTTTTAAATGTTGAATCTGCTAAGCCGGTGCTGGGGGCGTGGACGGCTTAACTTGCACTTTCAGTACCGCCATGAACTAGGCTCAATCAATCACCGAGCCTGCAACATTGATTCATTTTTTGCCGTGTTTGGGCTTTCTTGAGGGATTCTGTTTATCTATTTTGGGAGAATTGGGAGGCATGCACTCATCTCAGTGTGTAGCTGTTCTGTTTTTAGAGAAACGAATATTGAAGGGAGTTCTGTTTGGTTGAATTTAATTGTGGTGATCCTAATTGTTTTGGGTCATTGGTTGTATTCGAATTATATTTTGTTCTCCAGTTATATTTGTTTTGTTAAATATATTTATTGTTGTTTTGAGTTGTATTGGGTGATTTTGATTTTTGAAGATTTTCATAGTTAATACTATTAAATATATTATATTTTAATATTGAGGATAATGGGACATAGAATATTCTGTTGTTATTCACAAACATTTTCAACGGTTTTTTTAAAGGAGTCTTTGATCCAATTATTTTAGGCATACCGCATGCTTGATTGGTGTTCATTCCCTGTACAGTTGAACCCGACGGACCAAATCGTTAAACTCTTTGACGGCCTAATGTTATGCATTTTATATCTTCTGTCTTGCTTTTGCGGGTCCTTGTAAATGATTTTCTTGTTGCTTTGTCTCCTATTAAAGCAAGGCATGAGTAATTTGTTAGATCATGAAGATGTAGCGTTTTTGTAACATGATTGAACCAGACAATTTAGTGTTTTATTTTTATTTATTATCGTCCATGTAACATGACAAATGTTAGAATTTACTAGGGACATAATTTTATAGTACACGTATAAAAATGGTTTTTTATTTATTATTTTCTATTATTTTAAATACTATGGAATTATATTGGTTAAAATAACGAAGAGTTAAAAATATATATAGGTAAATAAAATGCGAGGTAGTATTGATAATAGTTCTTTATTTTTGCTATTTAAAATATCTTGATATTGTAATTTTACGAATATACGTTTTTGCATAAAAAACGCTCTATTTAACCTTAATATTGTTCATTTGTGTGTATATTTATCGTTCTTTTTCGTTATTTAAAGTGGTAAAGCCTGATATCGAGGATGATCAAAAGCGCTGGCTCATTGTGGTATTTTGTCTACACTAGTGTTTCTTCTCCGTTTAAGAGTTTATACTCATGTAGATAAGCAACTCTAATTCTCAACTGAAACACTCTGGAAATAATAGACAACCAAACTACCAATCAACTAGCCCCGCGCCCCAGTTTTTTTCTAGACAACCTTACCGGGAAAGAAAAAAAAAAAATAAACCAAAGGGGAATAAATAAGCCCTTTAAAAACCCTAAAAATGGAGGGGTCCTTTTAATTAAATAACGTGTATACCAAAGGTCTAGTCGAAGAAAAGATGAAAAGAACACATTAGATGTAAAATGCGAGTCACCTTTTCAAACTGTTTATGCGCCTAGATGACACAGGTAACCGGTTTCGATGACCACATGCGAACACTTCAGCCTGCTTGGAATCATTATCAATATAGATACATTTTCGGCTTTAGTAAAGACAGTTGCAGAACAGGTACATATTACTTAATTCTTAAACTTCTAAACTAACGGACATATATTGTTATTTTGTAAAATTTGCAGCATGACGGGTCAATATCAACACCAAAACATATTAATCCTTTCCGTCATGAGCATATTGTGAAAAATGGCCGATTTCAATGAAAAGCCTCCTGTTACAAGTTCAAACTGCTATGAAACTATGAAAAATGCTTCAATACTAAATAAACTTGGCACAAATGTTGACTCGACCATTGCCTTTGTAACGGCATGCTCATTCTTAAATTTCATGTTACCATGGCAACGAGGGGACATCTCAAAATTGCCAAAAATCACTATTTTGCCTCGATTTTTTCATCAAAATTTATTCCAAAGTGCTGCAAACTCCTCAGGGGATTGAGATAGAGTCAAAGGCTTTTCAGCGTTGGTTACACGTAAACTTATGATCGACCTGGGGTCATTTTTAGCTTCTCACAAGTCCAAAATTTTCTTGGCGTGGAGTAGGACTATCGACCCCCTTCAACCCCCCCCCCCCAAACAGAAGGGGGCACATCCCCTTCTGGCAACCCCCTCGAAAGTGCGTTGATTCGCGTATATATGAGGTAAAGGGTTAAAGATACTCCACTGACGTTTTTTGACATGACGGGACTAGAAATATTTTTTTGCGATTATTACTCCATTTGATGAAGATCTATACTAATAACTTATGTGCAGAATTTTAGATCATTAGCTCGCTTCGTTTTTCCATTACATGTATTATTATTATAATAGTGAAAATTGACCCAAAATTGAAAAGTGCTTAAACGATTTTCACTCAAATCGGAATGAGAGTAGCACAAACATACCATTTTCAATGCATTTCTTGTATATTTCTTAGTAATATTTTATTTATATACAAATGTATCTGTTTTAAGTGCTCATGTTGATCTGTATGAAAAATTAAAATTTTATATTTTAGTCTTACAAACCTCATTTGAGTTCCTTTAAAACCACTGTGAAACACATGATATGATTTCGATTACCATACACGTACTAAGTTTATACACTGCTTAACTAAAACTTACTATGTTTTAAACATATTTTAACTTGTGACTAAAGTCTCATTAGACATCACATGTATTAGTCATCGTTAAATGCTTTTCTCCGACCATTTGACCATTTCGATTGTTTACTAGATATATCCTTCTATATTGTTGTGAAGATTAAATGAAAGTCACACCAACACTGTGGAGATTGTATGGCGACTTCCTAGTTTTACTGGTTGAGGAAAGCCTCAGCCCTGTGTTCATTATTTTAGACACAAGCGGGAACCTTAAAAGTACCGCTGACCATGATATCTTACTACACGATAGAATCTAAATCTCTAACGGGATTCGAACTCGAAGGTGGGTGACGTAAAAGTAAATAAAAGGCGAAGACCTCAGCCACTTTTCCACAGAGGCCCGTTCCTAAATGGTGTAAAAATGCTTAACCCATTCGATATCAATATCATGTTTGATTTACTTAGTAACATGTTTATATTTGTTCATCGAAATAGGTGCGGTCTGAAATCCGTAATTGTTGGCGCATTGTAACTTTTCTGAATGGGATTTCCTTAAGTTCCAAGACTCGTTTCGGCTGATGCATCAGTTTATTAGAAATTTGCGACTTTCGGCCAGTGAAGAAACATTTGCACTTGGAGAACTTACTAAGTGGCAGACATATGGTGTGTACAAATAAGTATTATATAGATGTGGTTTTAAAAACGGCAATTTACTTAAGATAATTTATTATATTCGTCCAATATATATTAATATGAAAAATTAAGTTAACGCATTAATTCAGATTTTAAACATCAAGTAATTGAATAATATTCCACATATTTACAGGAATACAGTTTTTGCACGGCACAACACTCGGTATGGAAATTGTAAAAGAGCTTAAAAAAGAATTAAGAACAATAAGTAAACATGTATTAGCTGTTGCCCAACATAACGACGAAGCTTTCGAAAACATACAAAGGGCTCTAAATGACATACAAGATGCTTTTGAAAAGGCAGATGAAAAGTATTTGAGCTTAAAAAAACAAGTTGAAACAAACTATGAGCAGCATAAAAAGGAGACACTTGCAAGCATGAAAAATATGAAAGACGAAATAGCTGAAATCGAATGTCAAAGTCAGCGCTCAGCCACAAGCATATCAAACTGTAGAAATGAATTAGAAGAAGTGCAGACATGCGTTTCAGAAATAAGAACTGAACAGCGAAGAGAAAATGCAGAAATAAAGAGCCATGTTTCTGATCTTAATGCAAAGTTGGGATATTGTAATACTGAAATAAACGACGTTAAACAAAGTATGCAAGATATATATGACAATGTTTCCAGCAGCAAAAAAGAAATTGAGGCTATTAAAGTTCATTTGTCAAATGATAGGCCTCGTGATCAATTATTTTTTTATCCACCAAACAGAATTGCTAGTTTTGTTGGAAGAAAAGAAGAATTGAAACAACTACAAGAAAGGTTTTTTGAAAAAAAGTATGGCTGCAATATGCAAATTTTATGTGGACTAGGAGGAGTAGGAAAGACAACATTGTCTATTGAATACGCTTGGAATTCCCACGCCTTGTATCCTGGTGGTGTGTTTTGGATGTCTGCAGAAACAAATGAATCTCTGGAAGATTCAATACAAAAGATAGCTCTTGATACTGATAATGTCGGAAATGATGCAAAGGAATCGATGCGTAAAACGCTAATTTGGCTACGTGGACTGCAACAGAGATGGCTGCTTGTAATAGATAATTTAGATATGGAAGAAATCAAAGGAAATGTCAAAGAATTGGTTCTAGGTGCGTGGAGACATAACTCAAATGGTCAAACCATAATCACTTCAAGAAGAGAGGCCAATAATGCTGAGGAGGAGTTTTATGTCCAAGCCGACGACTGCATAACGTTGGATGTATTGACAGAAAAGGAAAGTTTACATTTCATTACAACTCGCACGGGTCTTCAAATTAACAATGATGAAAATGCAATATGTTTAGTACATGAACTCGGTGGATTACCTTTAGCACTGGAACAAGCAGCGGCTCATATCAAAGCATTGTCATGTACTTACAAAGAGTACTTCAATAAATTTAAAGAACAAAGATTGAAATTGCTTAAAGCAATCAGACCACCTTTTGAATTGTCAAAGGAAAGACAAGCGGTGCGAACAACATGGCAACTGAACTTTGATTACATTTTGAAACAGTCAGAGCATGAAGGATTGGGAAATACTGCAGTCACCATCGTTGAAATATTAGCATATTTATATGCAGAAGATATACCTTTTTGTGTCATTAATACAGGAACACCTAAAATATGCGATGAAAATTTATCACAGGTTCTCGAAGATCCACTAGGAAAAAAGCAAATTATTGAAATCCTCACACGATTTTCCCTCTGTTCAAAAAATGCTGAAGTATTGAGTATGCATCGATTAGTTCAGGAAGTTATGAGAGAAGAAGTTCAGAACTCAGAACGAACGCATTTCATTTTACAGTGTGCAATTAGAATGGTTAATAAAGCTTTAAGCGAAGCGTCTTCACCAAATGATGCAGTCAAAGAAGAAAACGTCGGCAAGATATCTTTGCATATGTGGGGTAAGTTGGCTCTTCAAGCAAATGCGTTAAGGGCATACATGAATCAATATGCAGCACAATCCCCAGATAATCCAGATAGTTGTTTGAATGCCGAATCCCTAAAACTTTTACAAACATGTGCAATTTACCACAGTTTTTACCAAAGGCAAGACGAAGCTTTAGTCTGTCAAAATCATATGTTAGGGATTATAACATCAAGTGAGATATCAGAACGCGACTTTCATGCACTGACATCAATTAAAATTCCCATTTTAAATAGGGAAAGGCTTATTATACAGTGTGGAATAACATTAGATTCAAATGATGAACAGAGCAGCAATACCATAGAGGACACAGAAATGTTACGACAAGAAGGTAATACTGCTTACAAAGAACTGAGGTTCCAGGATGCCATACAATATTATTCAAAGGCCATAAGTTTAAAACCTAAAAATTCAAATCCAAAACTGTTTGCAAATAGAAGTATAACCTTCTTAAAAGTCGGCAATTACGAAAATGCATTACGTGATGCAATGAGCTGTATTGAGCTAGATCCGACGTTCTGGAAAGCATATTGCTGGAAAGCTCTTGCCCTTGCTGGGTTAGTACAAAACGGTATATTAAACAAGTCTTGGTTATCTGTTGGTGAGGCAGCGGCCTCTGTAGCTGGATTTGGAAATAAACAATGCCTAAACATCGCTGAAATAAAGGTAGAGTATCCTTTGGTTTTGTACCATATAGTAGATAATGTACACGAATTTCGTATGTTGCTAAATTGTCCATCTAAGAAAACAATACTTCTTCGGAAAGGAAAATACAGCCTTTTAGGAGCTACGTCATCAATTTCAAGAAGTGTATGTCTTATTGGTGTTGAAAATGATGTTGAAATTATCAATGCTGACGCTTTAGTGATCAGTAATCCATATGCATTCTTATGCAATTCAATAGAATATTGTGCAAGTACCATTGATGTATATTTCGAAAATGTTTGTTTCCCGGCAGATTCAGGTTCAATAGCCGTTAGCCTACGTGCGAATGTAGCATGCTATAATTGCCGCTTTAGTAATGGCAAAAAGGGATGCGAAAATTTTCCAATTTGTGATGGAGGAACAGGGTGTGTTAACAAGAGTAAAACTGAATGTAAAAGGGAAAGTGAAACTGCAAATGAAATGGACGGTCTATTTTCAAATTGGTGAAGTAGGTTATGCTGGTGTCATAGTTAGCAACCAAGGAAAGGCGTTCCTGGATAATTGCGTGTTCAACAGATGTGGTGGCGGTGGTATATTATGCATACAAGACAACTCATTTCTAGAGATAAGAAACAGTAATATATGTAATAACAAACACATGGGTGTTGAGGCAAGGGAAGGTGGTACTGTTATTGTCATTAACTGTACTATAGAGGGTAATAGAACCCATGGGGTAAATATAGGTCCCCGTGGATACGGAATAGTATGGAAATGTCAGATACGGGGTAATGAATATGAAGGAATTTGGTGTGGCGGAATAATTGATTTTGGAGAAAATATTTTTGTTAAAGAAACAAACCATAAAGGTGGTTCAAAATGTATCATACAGGACAGCATGATATACCAAAATGGAATGTCTGGGCTATCTCTCGAAGGAGGAACATATAGTATCTGCGGAAATAGGATATTTGACAACTGGCTTTGGGCAGTGGTTGCAAAATGTCGTTCAGCACTATATATTTCAAATAATGATATTTTCGAAAACAAATGTGGTGGAATAAGGATAGGTGATAACTATTCGGCACCAGTGACACTTGATGGGAACACTATCCGTGATCATAATGGACCAGACATTTGCTTTGAAAAACCCATCGACACTATTATATCAGAATCAACGAAGACTTCGCTTGGTGAATCGAATATGTGTATAAAAGATGAAGTTACAGTGTACAATATCCCGCCCTTTTTGACAACAAGAAATATAATGAATAACAATGATAGGCAGACAAAAAAACAGTGTTCACAATATAAGCCAAATCTTGAAACATGTTGTTATTGTCGTGCCTTATCAAGTTCATTGAAGATTTGCTCAAATTGTAGAAAGGCTAGCTATTGCTCAATTGTTTGTCAAAAGAAACACTGGACGCGTCATAAACATCTGTGTAGACTGTTGTATCAGAAATACACAGTTGAGATAGATATGGCCAATTGTACTTATTACGACAGTGTTGATAAAATCAATTTTAAATTCACAACTGTTCCTCTTCCTGATCTAGGAAAAGGTACGCCTCCCGATTTGACAAGTACCAAAAAATTCATTGTGAAAATACAATTGCACAAGGAGTACACAAAATACAATCCTAATCTGACTCTTCGACTTTATGACCAAACACAGAAGCTGGATATCCTATTTAGTAACCCAGCAGTTTATCATTTTATTGTAGAGTGTGGAGTTTTGGCAGGAACACAAATTACAATCAAGAAACTGTACTGTTATGCTTCTTTCAAAAGAAAGGGTAAAATCTTGTGCATCCACACGGAAACGTTGCCTCCTTACCAACATAGATGGTAATGCATTTATAGAGGATCACAGTGCATAATATACTAGATAGAATGTAGAATCTTTTCATTCATCGTTAATGATAGTCAGGAAACAGCATATAACATTTAACGAAGACTTCATAACTAGGGCGTCCATGGCCGAATGGTTTGTTGGATTTAAACCACTTGTTTCTCACCGCTGTTGGTTCGAATCACGCAGGGAACTTTGGATTCTTTCATGTGGAGTAGCTGTTCGGCTAGCTTACGAAAAGTTATACTTAGGTGCCATTTATTTAAGTTTTCTCCCACCAGTAAAGCTGGAAAGTCGCCGTATGACCTCTTCTTTGTTGGTGTGACTCAAGTTCAACAAAAAAAGTCAAAGATAAAGTGACTAATTGTATTATAATGTTTCATCACACACCTGTGCCGATTTTGCGAATCCAAAAAATCGCATTGCACGGGCGTGCATATATTTGACGTGACGTCATTCGCGTTGTACAAACATCGGATAGTGTAAAGATGCGCTAAATGTTAGCGCTATAATATATGCGCTTCAATGAAAAATGACTCTTTTTCCACTTTAAACGGTTTTTCTTTTGTATGTGAGAAGCATGGTGACTTTTCAAATTAATCTATATATATATTTAGGTTAGAGCTCAAAAATATCATCATCTCCTACGAATATGAAGTTTTACAATACCAAAGTACATGTACTACATCATTGTTTTAATTGTTTTGTATATAATAATAAATTCCTTATTTCATAAGGACTTTTGTACAATAATGATTGCATATTTATGAAGCTGATTAAAGCTAAATTTCCTGTTACCATGGCAACGAAGGGACACCTCAAAATTGCCAAAAATCACTATTTTGCGTTGATTTTTTGTGTTGCAACTTCTCAATGGATTGACATAGAGTCAAAGGCTTTTCAGCGTGACATATGTTACCTTAAGGTCGACCTGAGGCCAGTTTAGCCTCTCACAAGTCCAAAATTTTCTTGGAAAAGAGGGGGCTGCCGATTTACACTCAAAATAAACATTGTGGAAAATTATATGCATGTTACACACTATTACCTTGACAACGCCTCCTACATAAATAAAAATAAAAAGAATGTTAAAAACTTAGCTAAACAATGATCAAATCAGCTATAGTCTTTAAAATTGCAGCGAGAGAAATAAATATGAGCAAGAGCCATGTCAACATGGCCATCCCCCGCCGAATGTGTTTGCTCATTGGAAGAATGTATATGTAGTAGAACGGAATAATTCTACTTTAAGAGGTCTTTTGGTAATGAAAAGTGATGGCTATAGTGATTACAGATTTGAAAACTATGTGAATACTGATGGCTGAAAATAACAAAGGGCAATAACTGAAAAATAATGCAGGGTAGGTTATCATTCTTGTGTGCTGCATCCCTCCTCAGTAAAATCTATCCACCTATGAAGTTTCAAGTTGATACCTCAAATACTTTTTGAGAAAAAAATTGAATTGAAAAATTAAGTATGAAAAATAACAAAGGGCAATAACTCAAAAAATATAAAAGGTAGAGCTATCATTCATGTGCAGTGCACACCTCCTGAGTGAGATCTATGCACCTATGAAGTTTCATTTTGATATCTCAAAGGCTTTTTGAGTAATGCTCTGGACAAAAATTCATTTTGAAAAATAACAAAGGGCAATAACTCAAAAATAATGCAGGGTAGAGTTATCATTCTTATGCACTGAACTCCTCTTTAATGAGATCCATCCACCTTTGAAGTTTCAAGTTGATACCTCAAATACCTTTTGAGATAAGCTCTGGACAAAGTTGCATGAAAAAAAAACAAAGGGCTATAACTCAAAAATTATATAGGGAAGAGTTATCATTCTTGTGCACAACACTCCTCCTCAATAAGATCTATCCACCTATGACATTTTATGTTGATATCTCAAACACTTTTTGAGTTATGCTCCACTCAGGTGAAAAATTAGGTATGAAAAATAACAAAGGGCAATAACTCAAAAATTATGAAAGGTAGAGTTATCATTCATGTGCACTGCACACCTCCTGAGTGAGATCTATGCACCTATGAAGTTTCATGTTAATATCTCATAGGCTTTTGGAGTTATGCTCTGGACAAAAATCAATTTTGAAAAATAACAAAGGGCAATAACTCAAAAATCATGCAAGGTACAGTTATCATTCTTGTGCACTGCACTCCTCCTCAATGAGGTCTATCCACATATAACATTCCTCCTCAATAAGATATATCCACCTATGACATTTCATGTGGATATCGCAAACACTTTTTGAGTTATGCTCCACTCAGGTGAAAAATTAGGTATGAAAAATAACAAAGGGCAATAACTCAAAAATTATGAAAGGTAGAGTTATCATTCATGTGCACTGCACACCTCCTGAGTGAGATCTATGCACCTATGAAGTTTCATGTTAATATCTCATAGGCTTTTGGAGTTATGCTCTGGACAAAAATCAATTTTGAAAAATAACAAAGGGCAATAACTCAAAAATCATGCAAGGTAGAGTTATCATTCTTGTGCACTGCACTCCTCCTCAATGAGGTCTATTCACCTATGAAGTTTCAAGTTGATAACTCAAATACTTTTAGAGATATGCTCCGGACAAAAATGTCGGACGGAAGGACGGACGGACGGACGGAGACTATTTCTATATCCTCCGCCGAAAAATTTTGGCGGGGGATAACAAGAGCCATGTCAACATGGCCATCCCCCGCCGAATATGTTTGCTCATTTGAAGAATGTATATGTAGTAGAGCGGAATAATTCCATTTTAAGAGGTCTTTTGGTAATGAAAACTGATGGCTATAGTGATTACAGATTTGAAACCTATGTGAATACTGATGGCTGAAAATAACAAAGGGCAATTACTGAAAAATAATGCAGGTTAGGTTATCATTCTTGTGTGCTGCATCCCTCCTCAGTAAAATCTATCCACCTATGAAGTTTCAAGTTGATACCTCAAATACTTTTTGAGAAAAAAAATGAATTGAAAAATTAAGTATGAAAAAGAACAAAGGGCAATAACTCAAAAATTATAAAAGGTAGAGCTATCATTCATGTGCAGTGCACACCTCCTGAGTGAGATCTATGCACCTATGAAGTTTCATTTTGATATCTCAAAGGCTTTTTGAGTTATGCTCTGGACAAAAATTCATTTTGAAAAATAACAAAGGGCAATAACTCAAAAATATTGCAGGGTAGAGTTATCATTCTTGTGCACTGCACTCCTCCTCAAGGAGATCCATCAACCTATGAAGTTTCAAGTTGATACCTCAAATACCTTTTGAGATAAGCTCTGGACAAAAAAGCATGAAAAAAAGGGCAATAACTCAAAAATTGTATAGGGAAGAGTTATCATTCTTGCGCACAACATTCCTCCTTAATATCTATCCACCTATGACATTTCATGTTGATATCTCAAACACTTTTTGAGTTATGCTCCACTCAGGTGAAAAATTAGGTATGAAAAATAACAAAGGGCAATAACTCAAAAATTATGAAAGGTAGAGTTATCATTCTTGTGCACTGCACACCTCCTGAGTGAGATCTATGCACCTATGAAGTTTCATGTTAATATCTCATAGGCTTTTGGAGTTATGCTCTGGACAAAAATCAATTTTGAAAAATAACAAAGGGCAATAACTCAAAAATCATGCAAGGTAGAGTTA